TAAAGGTAACCGGCTCCTGGGCATTCGCCTCCTTCTTTAATTGTTTACTTATTCCTATTGATCAGGCGTAGCATTTATCACCTCAACATCCAGCACCTTCTGCTGTCAGGGCTGGGACAGACCTTTGCCCCAAGTTTACTCCTGATCTTTTGGGGCCTCTGTAAGATGTCTCTCGATCACTGATGTTGTTTGATTTTGGTTTTTTATCAAATCCTAGTTGGGGCAGGACCTGAGTTTCTTAGTTGGGGCATTAGTAGTTAAGGAGATAAGTACACTCGTTAAATTTTGGTTACTATAATTGGTCAATAGACAACCTTGAGTATACCTCTCTGTACACTTAGGCAGTGTTTTGCTGTATATAAAATAAGAGTGTCAAACAAAACAGAAGCTTATTTACGGCTTAAACAACATCAAATAAGCAAAATAATTCAGTGGCAGGCAGAGCGGGGTGGTGTGGCGGCTCCCAGCCACGGAGTCCAGGGGAGATCTAGTCTCCATCCAGCCCCACACCGTCCCCCGTGGGGCAGCGTGGCTGCTGGAGTGCTGGCATCACATCCGAGTTCTAGACAGCAGGATAGCGGAAGAGAACGGCATACTCCCTTCTCTCTAAGGAGAGTTCTCAAGTCCCTGACCACCTCATAGTCCCTGGCGACCAGGGAGGCCGGGAAATGTAACCCTTTAGCTCCGTGGCTGTTTGCCCAACCAAAATCCTGGTCTCAGGAACAACTAAGGAAGAAGGAAAGAATGGCAATGAACATCTGGCAGCCTCCCCCTTGGACTACCACACATGCTCTACCTGTTTCTTCCTTCCATCCTGTTTCACAGTCGGTCATCAGAACTCTGCCCGAGTTGGCACAGGGCAGCTTTTTTCCATGGGATTCTGCCTGCTCTACACGCGAGTCCGGTCTCAGGCGGAGAGGGCAGCCGCGGCCTGCTTCTGGGTCTCGGACAGCACAGTGGGGAGCTGAGATGCGGCACCAGAGCTCCTGGCTTTGAGAGCTGGTTTGGAGGTTCCAGAAGGGGGGCGCAGCTCCTCGTATGTCCAGGACCAAAGAGTGGCCCTCTCCTCTGTCAGGGAAGGTTGTCCTCTTCGCCCGAGACCCTGCAGCTTCCGGGGGGGATGCACATGGACCCGTGAGGGAGGATGGGGACACCCGCCTCACCAGCCAGGTCAGCTGAATCAGCCTTGGAGATCCATGGGGTGACAGGCGTCGCAGCCAGATTGCCCGCACATCCCAGAGCTCTTGATCTTTGAAAGAGATCCTCTCCCTCCTCCTCTCCACCGATCCTCCAGGAAGACCTGCCCCCATTTTGCAGCCATTGAGTTACCTGCCCTGGCCAAGGTAGGGTGAGACACCCTGCCCCCCCCCCCACACACACACACACACCTACCCAGCACACCTCCACCTTAGACTTAGTGGTTGCACTTGAGTTCTGCTGCCCATACACCTCTTCCTCATACCTTTCTCTGGAGAAATCCCCTGTGGCTTTTCTGCTTTCATCTCTCAGAGCTCTGAACACAACATTTAGTCATCCCTAATGGACTGGTAAAGAGGAAGTGATGACAAAACCTTGCCACCAGGAATTACTTGTGTTGTACCCATAAGTGTGTTCAGGGCAGTTGCCTGTTTTCAAATGCAATTCATATATTTGCTGAAATATGAAAAACAGGAATCAGAACAGTTAACGTTTCATTGAGCACTTACTCTGTGTCAGGCACTATTCTAACACTTTGCAAGTTCATGGTCATTACAGTCCCGATGTTGGTCCTGGGAGCCTCCCCATTTTGCAGAAGAGGTGTCAGGCACGGGAGGCTGGCCTTTGCTCAGCGTGGAAGGGTTGAAGCTGGGGCTTGAACCTAGGTGTCTGGCTCCAAATGTTACTGCGAGAGAGAGCGGTAAGGTGGCTGGAGGCAGAGCCTGGAGTCTGGGACTGAGAGAGAGGCCCACGACTGGACTCCAGCCCCCAGTGTGCCCCCAGCTAGTGAGGGATCCTGGGGGCTCAGAAATAAGGGGTCCCAGGGCCTATGGGGCCAAGTGGGGCCCAGGCAAGTACCCTAAGTGAAAAAGGGCCAAGAATGGTGGTTGCCAGTGGGCATGTAGGCCCGGTGTGGTCTTCCAGAATATTCTCGACAAACCAGACATCTTGTATTCCCCCATGGCAAGCTCTAGTCTTTATTTCCAATCTGTTGCAAACTCTTGAGTTTTTACTTTTACAGTAAAAATGAATTACTAGAGAAATGAACATTTTAAAACTGAAGACATAAAATACACCTCACCCCCACCCCAATTTTTATTGTGAGGTTTGACATAACATTCCAAGGACCCAGAAATCTTGAGTTTTGTATGCCACTTCCCAACTTGCTAAGTGTTTATAACAGACAGGAAACCAAAAGAACACGTCTGCTGTCTGGCTATGGCCAAAGGGTGACCAATTTACAGATCCTGAGCTAGGTCATCTGCAAAGCTCTTCTGCCTTCAGAGCCAGATCCCCAAGCAGCTCTCTGCCCTCAGTCTCCCCAGAAATGTGCCCGGATGTGTCCACACCAGAAACCCTGACACGAAGGGCACCTGGGGCCCAGGGCTGGGCATCCTGGGGACGGGGCCCTGAGGAAAGCTCCAGGCTCAGCACAGCACAGGCAAAGGGGAGCAGCCGGGCAGGCGGCCATTGCCTGGAGCTGCTCTTCTCCGTGGGCCCCTGTGGTGCCCCAGAGCCAGGCTGTCCTGGGCGGTTAGGCCAGCTTCACAGGTGAGAGACAGAGCTTATTAAGTGGCTGAGCTAAGGCCCGGACCGGAGGCGGCGGATCGGAAGCGATTGAAAGCAGGTCAGACTGCATTCTGCTGCAGCGCTTCCCAGGGCGGAGGAGAGGCGAGTCAGAAGGGTGGATTGGGTCTCCTCCCAGGAGGAAGGAGGAAGGAGGAAGGGAGAGGGGGACCTGAGAGTCAATTCTGGGTGTGGACACCTTGCTGTGGTGTCAAGACTTTCCTGAGGGAGGCAGGCCCCGAGAGACCCTCCCGCACCCTGGCCCGGGGCTCAGTTGGTTGGGCGTTGTCCCGGGTAACAAAAGGTTTCAGGTTCGATTCCAATTCCGGGTCAGGGCACATACCTAGTTGCCAGTCCATCCCCAGTCGGGGAGCCTATGGGAGGCAGCCAATCTCTGCCTCTCACAGCTCTCTCTCTCTCTTTCTCTCTCTCTCTCATTTTCTCTCTCTCTCTGTCAGTGAAAACATAACCTCAGGTGAGGATTAGAGAGAGAGAGAGAGAGAGAGAGAGAGAGACTCCTGCATGTTCTAGAAGAATAGAGACCAGGAGTTAAAGACTGACAGTGTGAAACTGACAGTGTGAACTGCATAGAACCAAAGGATCAGGGGTCACCACAGGGTCATGTGGGGCGGGGACTGGCTCCAAACCCACCTCACCTCCGGTCTCCGGAGAACCCCTCCGTCCCTGCAGACCCACCCTGCGTCCCATCTGTAAAAGGATGGATGGACTTCGGCCTGTCTCTCCTCCAGGATGGTGCCTGGACCGCTGGCGATTGCATGTGGCTCCTCATGGGGAATTATTTTCCCTTTTAAATTTGAATAGTCATGTGTCCATTTTCATGTGAATTAGAAAACAATGACGATGTCCCCAAGCCTGGCATTTCACCCTAAGGATAGCAGCTGACCCTCAGCCAGTGCTTACTGTGTGGCAGGCACAGTCCGAGACAACAGCCACTCTCTAACATATTAGGATCCCGTGGATGCTGTCATCGTCCTGTTTACAGAGGAGGAAGATGAGGTCCTGAGAGGCGGTCACCTGCCCAAAGTCACCCTAGTGAGTGGCAGAGCTGGGTTCAGGCCCAGGCAGCTGGCTCCAGGGTCTCGCTTCTGGCCTCTCCTCTATTTATTCCCCTTATACTGAGGGGAGATCAAGGAGAAGAAGGGCACAGGAGGTGTGACACAGCTCACTGGGAAGGTGGTAAGCAGGTGACAGAATGGTCCTCCCGAGGGTCAGAGTTAGGCGGTCTCTGAGGGCCTGTCCAGCTCGGGGGTTCTATAATGTCACAAGAAAATGCCCGGCTGGAATTCTATGTTAAGGAAGCTTCTTTGTAATAGTATGTTTACATGTTTAGTTGTTTACATAGTCAACACGATATAAAAAGGTCTACAAATCTTTCTTTCTAATTCTCACCTGAGAATATGTTTATTGATTTGAGAGAGAGAGAGGAAGGGAGAGAGAAACATCGATGTGAGAGAGAAACCCATCCATTGCCTCCCTCACGCACCCCGACCAGGGATAGAACCCACAACCGGCAATCGTGCCCTGACTGGCAATCGAACCCGAAACCTTTTGATGTACAGGACGATGTTCCAAGTGACTGAGCCACCCGGCCAGGGCTAGAAATCTGTTTGTATTGGCGCCACCAACACCCCAGTAGTTCCTGTGTGTTCTGCTCTGTGCAAATACAAGCAAAGAGAACATATCTTCCTCCGTGTATCCTGAAGCCAAAAGGCAGCAGCACACTGTCTACCTGCCTCGATTTTGTTCCCTTATCAGCATAACCTTGAAACCTGTCCCTGTCAGCCAGGGAGGGCTCCCGCATCCCTCATTCCTTTTGCCGGTGTGGAGCATTCCAACTCAAACGTTCCTTTTTGTAGCCCCTCCCTTACTGACAAGGCACCTGGGTCATCCTATCTAATAATAGACAAACAGGGCAATTGACTGTACCTTCGCTACACCTCCCATTGGCTAATCAGAAAGATATGCAAATTAACTGTCAACAAAGATGACGGTTAATTGGCATACATAGGCGCAAAGGGCAGAGCGAAGACTGAAGGCGGCTCCGGCCGGAGCGAAGGCCTGGGTCCCGGGTGCCGGAGGGAGGAAAACCGGTGCCGGCAGCCAGGGGGAGGGAAGGCCTAGTGCATGAATCTTTTCGTGCAACAGGCCTCTAGTTTTCTATATTTTGCTGTTACCAACAAGGCCACAGGAAACAGAAACCTCATGCAGGCATGGTTTCGTCCGGGGCAGGTAACCTTTGGGACAATCTCCTGGCGAGAAATGGCACCTTGGAGTCATTGCTAATTGACATTTCCCATGAGTGAAGGTGATCGTCTTTTCCCATGTTTAAGACTGACTTGTACTTTTCCTCTGAACTTTTCCCGTCCTTTACCCACCTCACTGTTGGGTCTCTCTGTTCTTACTTTTCTGAAAACTCTTTATGTATTAGGAAGACGAGCCTTTTGCAAATCCTTCCCCCCAGGGTGTCATCAGTCTTCTGATCTTGCTGTTGCATTTTTTGCAGGGAGTACTTTGTTGTTGTTTTAATCCTCACCTGAGGGTATGTTTTTACTGCCTGAAGAGAGAGAAAGAGCTCCCTGACCAGGGACTGAACCTGCAACCTAAGTACATGCCCTGGTGGGGAGCCCAACCGCAACCTTTTGGTGGACGGTGTATGGGCTGACGCTCCAGCCAACTGAGCGAGCTGGCCATGGCTTTTGTTGGTTTTGTCTTGTTTGCTTTTCTGTTTTGATATTTACACAGTTGAATGTATCACGCTTTTCTTTGGTGATCTCTGGCTTTACAAGTCATGGTTAAAAAGTCTTTCCTACTGGAAGGTTAGTTATAAAGGAATTTGTTCATGTTTCCTGCTTAGAAAAAAACAGCACAAAGCCCACTGTTCATGAAGGGAATGATATGAGAAAAGTATGGGCCTAAAGCCCAGTCTTTTGCTACCAGGGGTGGGGAACCTTTTTTCTGCCAAGGGCCCTTTGGTTATTTATAACATCATTCTACAAAATTATCAACTTAAAAATGTGCCTGCTATATTTGGTCAAACATTTAATGAACTCACCCCTAATGCCTTGTCAGGGCCAGACCAAATGATTTCTCGGGCCTCATGCAGCCTGTGGGCGGGACGTTCCCCACCCCTGAGCTAGATAGTGAACCTGACATTGCTCACCTGGTCTTTTGCTCTGTAGGCCCTGCTGCAGGCTGATCTGGGAGGTGGCAGCCTCTGACCCAGGACAGATCTCACCATGGCCCTCCTGATACACCTGCTTGTCTGCACGTTCGGGATGGGCTCCTGGGTGGCCATCAACGGGATCTGGGTAGAGCTGCCCCTGCTGGTGACGGAGCTGCCGGAAGGCTGGTACCTGCCCTCCTACCTCACGGTGATCATCCAGCTGGCCAACGTCGGGCCCCTCCTCTTCACCCTGCTCCACCACTTCCGGCCTGGCTGCGTGTCCGAGGTGCCCGTCATCTTCGCCGTGCTGTGTGTGGGCACCATTGCCTGCACCCTCTTTGCCTTCCTCTGGAATGTCACCTCCTGGGTGCTGGGCAGTCTCCGCAGCATCACCTTCATGGTCCTCACCTTCTTCCTGGCCCTGGTGGACTGCACCTCCTCCGTCACCTTCCTGCCCTTCATGAGCCAGCTGTCCACCCACTACCTCACCACCTACTTTGTGGGTGAAGGACTCAGCGGCCTCCTGCCTGCCCTGGTGGCTCTTGCCCAGGGCTCGGGGCTCACCACCTGCGTCAACGTCACCGAGACACCTTACAACACCTCAAGCCCTAGCATCGTGAGGAAGACCGGCATCCCACAGGTACCAACCCCACCCAGAGCCGGCGCAGCGCTCAGCATTCGGTCACGGCAAGGGCACGCGGAGGGCTCGGGTTTCCGAAGTGTTGGGTGGCCCCGTGCCCTTGACCTGGCTACACCTTAGCTTACCTGGGAGAGCTACTGAAACACACTACTGGGGCCCCCACAGCCAGACCAATTAAATGAGACTCTGAGCGTGGGGACCATTGGTTTCTGAGTTAACACCCATTGGTAGGGAGCCATAGAGAACCACGAGGCTGTCTTGGGTTTTCCATGGCCCTGGCTATTTAATTGACAAGCGTTGTTTAACCACACAATTACCCTAGATGTTTGTTCATTGTTTATTTCACAATACTTCCCACGCCATTTAACATAGAAACAGACCTCCGAGGTGCTCCAGTGAGCCCCTGGAACACTGCAGATGTATTCCGACACAGACTAAGATTTTAACCCTTAAAACCGCAATTTCTAATGAAAACTAAGAAGTAAGCAATTAGCATTCTTTAGCTTAAATTTATGAAGATATTTTATTCTAGAAACACATTTCGTAGACATCAAATTCAATTATTAACATAAATTTATTTTTGTAAACCCAGGTAAAATATAGGGTGCCCCCAAAAAATGTATGCACACACTTTGAATAATTCTGAAGTCAGTGTATTCATTTTCAAAATTGAGCTGTCAGCTATTAAAGTGTGTACATTTTGGGGGGATACCCTGTATAAATATTATATTTAAAATCAATAACTAAAAAAAATGTTCTACTCAAACCAATAGACTTTAACTAACTGTTATTAACTAAGAATTAATCTTAGATCATGAGAACTTGAGAAGCATTTGATTTAGTTTCCGTATTTCTGAGAATTTTAGAATACCCGATTCTTACAAGCGCTTGCCTTTAAGTTAATGTTAGCAATATCATCCAGAGGTAGAAAATTATTTCACATTTACAACAGACAGATAGAGGCACACTAGTTTATAAAAGAACAGCTGGATCCCATTCTTTTCGGAGACATTTACAATTTATATCTGCGGTTGATGAGACACGTCCCAAATGACCTTCCCCCTTTTAGAACCAGGACGGCCATTTTTAACCTCAGAGAACTGGGTTGACGCCTAACCAACATCGCAGGTGGATCCATTTATCTAAATCCTCTTTTTGAAGCTTCAAGAGACCAATTAGATGTGTTTCCCATTCATTCTGCCTCGTTGACAGCCAGCTTTTCCTCATTGGTGCCCCAGCGTTTAATGTAAGTCCCGAAGGCCCCTCACCTCAGCCACCTCAGCATCAGTGGGAGGCTGGCTGTCATGGGCTTGTTGGCCTTGGCGGTGTGGTTGCCCATGTTAATTTTAGTTTTTCTTTGAGATCCATAGAGTCTGAACAGACTTTTGGGAAAAACCAGCCTTTAGGTTCAGACGAGCCAAATGTAGTGAATATCCCTATAGGGCCGTGATGGCGAACCTATGACACGCGTGTCAGAGGTGACAGGCGAACTCATTTTTTTGGTTGATTTTTCTTTGTTAAATGGCATTTAAATATATAAAATAAATATCAAAAATATAAGTCTTTGTTTTACTATGGTTGCAAATATCAAAAAATTTCTATATGTGACACGGCACCAGCGTTAAGTTAGGGTTTTTCAAAATGCTGACACGCTGAGCTCAAAAGGTTCGCCATCACTGCTATAGGATATCCCTACATCCCTGTAGAAACTTTCTTCAGGCCACCCCACAAAGATTCTTAGTCACCTAGGAATACCCGAGCAAGGGCCCACAAGGGCCTACCAGGCACCACCAGGACCGCGCCACGCCAAGGCCCAGACCCTCTCTCTGTGTGAACCCATTCAAAGGCCTCCTGCCCTGCTCCTGGGGCTCCCACCAGCTTCCCCCAAACCAGCTGCCCTTCCACACAGAACGGCCCCTGGTGCCCCTCCCTACCACTCCGGATTCAGGGTCTGCACCAGCTATTGTCACCCCATTGGCTATTCAGGTTGGGGATGCAAGTATCCTTTCTCTTTCTATCCTTTCTCTTTTTGAACCAAAGAGAGTTCAGGGTCTCATTTAACCAGCCAAGATTTTGTTCAGACTCTCGGTAAGCAATCCAGTTAAAAAGCCAAAATTAGAAGTAGCAACAACCTTTCTTTGCTCTTTCCCTGGGTTACCTCAATCTTTATCCACCTGGAGGATTTTCTAAGAATAGCTCTCTCTCTCTCTCTCTCTCTCTCTCTCTCTCTATATATATATATATATATATATATATATATATATATATATATATTATATTATATTATATTATATATATAATTTCAGAGAGGAAGGGAGAGGGAGAAAGAGATAGAAACATCAACGATGAGAGAGAATCATTGATCGGTTGCTTCCTGCATGTCCCCCACTGAGGATCGAGCCTGCAACCCGGGCATGTGTCCTTGACCCTGAATTGAACCCAGGACCATTCAGTCTGCAGGCTGACACTCTATCCACTGAGCCAAACCAGCTAGGGGTGGTAGCACTTTTTAAAAATATATTTTTTTTAATTGGTTTCAGAGAGCAAGAGAGAGAGAGAGAGAGATAGAAACATCAATGATGTGAGAGAATCATTCAACATTTGCTTCCTGCCTGCCCCACTATGGGAATGGAGCCCACAACCCAGGCATGTGCCCTGACCTGGAATTGAACTGTGACCTCCTGGTTCACAGGTCACTGCTCAACCCCTGAGCCACACTGGCCGGGCAGGTAGTTCTTGAAAGAGATCTCTCTGGCCACACCAGGCCACATCACCACAGAGTGAGTTGGGGGGGGGGGGGTAGGGGGCTGCTCTCCCATTGGCTGGTCCCCAGCCCGCCCTCCTCTGAACATATATGTAGTTGCCAGCCTTGGAGGGCTGTAGAGTAGCAAGAGGCAGAGCTGAGTCAGAAAGAACCAAGTGGACTGGTTTTGCCACATACTCCCATGACCCTCAGGTAAGACGAATCTGTTCTGACACCTCTGTGCCCTGTAAACCGGGGTAATGGTCCCCACGGCACAGGGCTGTTAGGAGGTGCACGCCAGCTGTTGCATGCGAGGTGTGGTGCCCAGGAAGCAGTTGGTCAATATGAGCATTGATTATCATGACTTCCGTTGCTATGTGTATATTATTCATCACATACTAATCTACACTAATAATAGACAAACATGGTAATTGACCGTACCTTTGCTATGCCCACCATTGGCTGATCAGAGCAATATGCAAATTAACCACCAACAAAGATGGTGGCTAATTTGCATACTGCAGGCAGGGCGGGACAGCACGAGCCGCCATCCAGGCCCCCGTGTGTGACCTGGGGGTGGGGGCTCAGGCAAAGCAATCGCTGATCACTTCGCCTCAGCCCTGCCCGCCCTCGGGGGACAGGGCCCACTCCCGTGTGCGACCCGGGGGCGGGCAGGGTCTCAGGTGAGGCGATTGGCATCACTTGCCTTTGCCTGAGCCTTGCCCACCCGCCAGGGACACGGGGCCCTCTGAGAGAGAGAGAGAGAGAGAGAGAGAGAGAGAGAGAGAGAGAGAGGCGGAATTTGGCACCCTGCATCCCTCCCTGATCGACCACTGCGATTCCAAGCCAGCGAGGGCTGCCTTCAGGCCGCAGCTCCAGGTCCCTCATCCCCACCCCAGGCCCGAGAGCACAGTGCTGGGCAGGGGCACCCGGGGGTTCGGGAATGCAGTGTGAGGGGCCGGCATGACGTCGGGGGGGGGCTGTGTTTACACCGCCAAGTTCCCCACTTCTGCCCTGGCCTGCACATCCCTCCTCCTTCCCCTCAGAGGCCCAGCTCCTGACTACATGCTTGCTGGGCAGGCCCAACTGCACCAGGGAGTGAGCCAATGCGATCGGGATGGCCACTTCCTGGGATGGGACAGCCAGATCATGGCGATTCATGAGGGTGATGAGGCCTGTGGGGCATGCGCAGCCCTCGGGCGGCGGGGGTGGCCGGCCAAGCCAAGTCTGGCTTCAGTGGGGCCAGTGGGAGCCCGAGGCCACCCCATCCCCCACAGGCCTGGGCGGATGGTGGCTCAGTGGAGAGTGGTGTCTCCATGCATGGTGCCCAGGGGTGGCTGTGAGCTGCTGCAACCCTGCCCCAAGCTTCAGGGAGGGGGAGAAGGCTCGCAGCCACCAGCACCCTAGGCTGCACCGCCTGTGCCTTAGCCTGCCAGGTTGGTAGCGTCCAGAGCAGGTGAGCTGCTCCCTTCCCCCAGTGGTAGAACAGGGAGGAGAGCGCTGGGTGCAGGGAGGGGACCTCAGCTGGGATTCTCCTGGTGTGGGGAAGGGGCCCAGCCTGGGCCCGGTGGGGAGCTTAGGAAGTCTGGCTAAGCAGGTGCTGGTTCATACCAACTCTTACTCTGCCATCTTCCTCCAGCTCTTCAAGCTAGCCCCCCTGCCCCACCTGTCCAGGGGAACGGGCTCTGGGTGACCTCCCTGAGCTCAGAATGTAGACCCAGAGACCTCAAGGAAGAGTGCAGGGGCCAGTGCAGAAGTACCAGGGCAGAGTTGCTTCGGTGTCTCGGTGAAGTTTGCAACTGACCCAAGGAGGAAACCCCAGAGGGGAAAGGCCAGGAGGCATGAATTGCCAGCACTTTAGCCACTTGAAAACAGCTCCACTTGGAATGTGAGGCAGTTGTATGTTCAACTGAGAAGTGAGGGGGCTGAACTCCACCATCGCTGGGCTCCTGTCAGTCCAAGGCCCAAGCGTCCACCACGACAAGGAAAGAACAGAGCGAGGGGCCCAGAAGAAGGGAGGACAATTGAAGAAAACCGTGTCTAGACTTTCCCCAGCCCTCTCCTTCTTTCTGCTGCCTACAAGAGCACCAGGCCCGGCCACAGTTCTGTCTCCACCTTTTAGTCCCCTATTCTCCAACCACAGAGGAAAGAAATAAGGAAGGAGTCTGTGCTGCCTTCAGAAAGTATCTAAACAGTGGGGCCTTGACTTATGAGTTTAATTCGTTCCGTGACGGAGCTCGTAACTCAAATTACTCGTATGTCAAATCAATTTGAGACACGTGATGCTGGGCTGATGTTGTGGCGTTCACTGTGACGTTCGCTGCGCCACTAGCAGTGGGGTATCTGAAGCTGGCTCGTAACCCAAATTTTAGCTCGCAACTCAAAGCAAAAAATCGGCCAAGAGACGGCTCGTATCTCGAAAAACTCGTTAGTCGGGACACTCGTAAGTCAAGGCCCCACTGTATACCTGATCAGCCAGTTGCCTTCCACAGAGGGAGGCCAGACTGCGGGTTAGGCCCGCTTCCCACAGGGACATCAGTAGGACATCCTGTGAGGGCTCCCAGACTGTTAGAGGGGGCAGGCTGGGCTGAGGGATGTCCCCCGAGTGCACAAATTTTTGTGCAGCGGGCCTCTAGTTAATAATAATGCATCAAATTTGTTGTGTATTATCATTATTAATGATTTCCCCTGTGTCCCAGCATCACCCAGGGGTCCAATAACCCTTGCTTTGTCTTCCCCAGGGAAATGACAGCACTCCTGTGCCTGGCCTCACGGGGACGGCGCCCACCGTGGTCCATCTGGAAAGCCGCTACCTCCCTGCTCACTTCTCGCCCTTGGTCTTCTTCCTGCTGCTCTCCTTCATGATGACCTGCTCCCTCCTTGCCTTCTTCCTCCTCCAGCGCCACCCCAGGCGCTGTAAGACCTCCACAGAAGACCTCCTCACCTCCCAGGTCACCCTCTACTCCATCCGGCCACTGAAAGAGGACCTGGGCCCCTCGGGCCCGGCGGACAGCAGTACGAGCCAGGAGCCCGCGGAGAAGAAAGCGGCCTCCCGCTACCCAGCCCACCTGCTCTTCATCTACGGGCTGGTGGCCTTTGTGAACGCACTCACCAACGGCGTGCTGCCCTCCGTGCAGACGTACTCCTGCCTGTCCTACGGGCCTGTAGCCTACCACCTGTCCGCCACCCTCAGCTCCATGGCCAACCCTCTGGCCTGCTTCCTCTCCATGTTCCTGCCGAACAGGTCTGCCGCCTGCTGGCCCCGGGGAGCTCTGGTTGGGGATGCACTTCAGTTCAAAAACCAGAATTCCAGGCCCCACTGTCAGCTATAGTGGTTAATAGTGTAGTGGTTAATAATATGGCTTCTGGAGCCAGATGGCCTGGGTTCAAATTCCAGCTCTGCCCCTTACTAGCTGTGTGATACTGGACAAGTCACTCCAGCCCTCTGTGCCTCAGGGATTCCTATCTGAAAAATGGGGATAATAATTGTTCTACCTCCAAGGTGGCCGGGAGCAGGAGATGAGCTGATTTTGTAAAGCTCGAAACATGGCAGGTCCAGGGTGTCCGCCATCACTGCCATTGGCCCCTGAGAAGCAGGGATCAGGCAGGAAGTGAGGTTCCATTGACGAATGGGACCCCTGAGGCTCAGAGAAAGGCAGGCCCTGCTTAACTGCCAGGATTTCAGCCCTGCCCTCCTGCCTCCAGCCCAGGCTGGTTCCTTACAGCCGCAGCTCTGAAGAATGGGGGACAGACTGATGGGATGCAGATTGAGTCAGCCTAGACAGCATCAGGGATTTCAGATGCTAATGAGCAACTCGAGTGGTTCTGATGCAAAGGCTTCAGGCCCACCTGGGAGAAAAGCTCACCTTGGGGTCTGGAAACCTTAGGTCCCATAGCCTCCCATCTACCCCTCTGCCCTGCATGCCCTCACTGGCCTCAGACCTGCACACCGCCACCTCCCCAGCCCTGCCCACCTCCACCTGCCACACTCACCTCCCCAGCCCTTCTCACAACAACCTGCCACACCCACCTCCCTAGCCATTCTCACCCCCACCTGCCACACCCACCTCCCCAGCCCTGCCCACCTCCACCTGCCACACTCACCTCCCCAGCCCTTCTCACAACAACCTGCCACACCCACCTCCCCAGCCCTTCTCACCCCCACCTCCCCAGCCCTTCTCACCCCCACCTGCCACACCCACCTCCCCAGCCCTGCCCACCTCCACCTGCCACACCCACCTCCCCAGCCCTGCCCACCTCCACCTGCCACACTCACCTCCCCAGCCCTGCCCACCTCCACCTTGAAAACCTGAATTTTTGTGCCCAAGAAGGAGAAAAAATGAGAGCGGGAGAGTTCCTGAGAAACGGCCATTTTGCCAGAAAACTGATTTGACCTCAGGGGACCTAAAATCTCATGAGAGAAGGATGTCCCTGAGGAAGGGGCAGAACCTTGCTCACAGCTGGTACACCTGAGACTTGCTGATCTCTACATAGACAAAATCTGTGAATCAGGCAAGACATCCAGC